TCTGTTAACTTTTGTTAAAATTAATAAAGAAAAAGAAAATAAAAAATTTAGGCAGGCATTTCCTATAAATAAGGAAAAAGTGAGTATGAAAAATGTTGGCGTTTGGGGTTTCTATGATCAACGTCATGTACATAATTAAAAGAACAATCAAAATAACTACGAGATATCATCTCACACCAGTAAGAACAGCAAAATTTAGCAGAACAGAAGAACAAATGCTGGTGAGGTTGTGGAGAAACTGGAACATTTATTCACTGTTGGTGGAAGTGTAAAATGGTGCAACCGCTATGGAAGGCAGTATGGCGCTTTCTCAAAAAGTTGGAAATAGAAATACCATTTGACCCAGTAATTCCACTACTGGGAATATACCCCAAAGGACCATAACTGGCATCCAAGCAGATATATGCACACCCATGTTTATCATGGCTTTGTTCACGATAGCAAGGAATTGGAAACAACCTAAATGCCCATCAACAAACAAATGGGTAGAGAAGCTCTGTTATATTCACACAATAGAATACTATGCTGCATTGAAAAACAAGGAACTCATGCAATATTATTCAAAATGGCTGAGCCTGGAGGACATTATGCTGAGTGAAGTATCTCAGTCACAAAAGTACAGATACTTTATGGCGCCACTGTTGTGAAACAGGACTGACATCAAGGTTGAGAGGAGACTGAGATAGATGGGATAACTAATACTGCATTGAAACAAATGAAGGAGAAAACTGTTTGAAAGGGATATGTGATTAGGTATTTTTCTCATGAACAGAGTCCAGAGCGAAGGCTGCATAGTGGAGTGGACCTGGGGGGAGGGATTGTAAAACAATGAAAGAATTTTTATTTAAATTTTCCAAGAGGGGAGTGTGCTGGGGAGGGGGAGTTAGGAGGAGAAAAAAGTGCAACAATGAATAGAAATCCAAAGTCTCTAAATTTTCATTGAAATTAATTTTTTAAAAAGTGCTTAAAAGAAAAAAAAGAACAGATTCACTGTTAAGAAGTATCTTTGAAGTCACCAGCATAAGAGATAAAATACACTTTACTCTGATTTAAGGAAGAGGAGGAAAGGATAGTCTGAATGTGAATAGTACAAAACCAGTTTTTATTGAATGTGTTTCAGATTATACACAATACATACTGTTTACATTTGCCAATAACTCCCTCCCTGAAAGGAATTTTCATAAGCACTGTTGGGCCAATTTTTTACATATTATCATAAAAAAATTAGCATGGCACATTTACAAAAATACCTCCTGGTGGCCGTGGGTTTTGGCATGATTTATAGAGTAATGTTAAGAGTAGGTACCTGGTAACAGTGGGATGTGGTGCAGTACACCTTCATCAGTAGGATGGCTGTGAAGTGTCCACAGTAATGATATATTTGCTATAAAATAAATGTCATGTCTTTTGGATAAGCTTAAAAAGGAAAAGAATCAATAATCAGCATAAGAACACTATCTCTGCCTAGATTCTAAAACTTTACAAGTCATTTTAAGATCAGGAATCTAGCTTGTCTTGTACTAAAGTTCAGTTTGAAAGAAACTATGACATCATAGTCATGTTAATGATTTAGGTACAGGAGGACCACCCACCACACAGTCCTGGCCTACTGACCGCCTTAGAAAGCTGTCCCCTTGACTAACCACATGTGCATGTTGCTTAACTGATAACAATATGAGCGAGCCCTGAGTGAAATCTCCTGTGATTGGTTTGTTCTGGAGCAAGTTACTTAAGATCTCTGTGCTTCAATTTTCTCATCTGTAAAAGAGAGATAAAATGTAGCTCACAGAGTCATTCTCGGCGGTGATATGGTAATTCGGTCCTTAGTAGAGAGGCCCTGAAAGGCAATCCATAAATATTAGCTTTGGAAACATTAACCAGGTATTAATGGTCTATAGGGACTTCTGGTGGCCTAGTGGGTAGGGAGTTCTACTGCCAACCCAAAGGTGGGTGGTTTTGATCCACCAGGTGCTCCATGAGAGAAAGATGGGCAGGCTCTTCCTGTGTAGTTTACAGCCTCTAAAAACCTGCTGGAGTGTCAGTTATGAATAGGTTCTGACTTGATAGCAATGAATTTGAGTTTATAGTGGTCTGTTGAGCTGTCAAATTGGCTTCAACTCATGAAACCCTGCCTATCAACAGAAGAAAGCACAGCACCTCCCACATCGGCTTCATGATTGCCCTGGACGAGGCTGTTGTGGCAGCCCTGCACGGTGCCAGCCCATCTTGTTCAGGGCCTTCCTCTTCCCTAACCCTGTTTCACCAAGTATCATGTATTTCTCCAGGATCTGGGCCCTCCTGATTACATGCTCTACGTGTGTGGCACAGAATCTTGACATCTCCACTTTTAAGGAATAGAGGGGTCTAGCTGTTATCTAGCTCATCCTTTTTTCTTCTGAAGGCTCAAATCCTATGGACGTGAGTCTCTCTAGGTTAGTTTTCATGTGGCGTCTTTAGAAGCCTAAAGATTCATGGGACATGTGCTCAACTACACTTTGTACTATGAGGTTTAGTGGGAAGCTTCTCTGATAATTTAATGTGCACTTCAAAATCAACACCTTTTGGTACCAGCAACCAGGAAATTAAAAGATGAATTGCATTGGGAATGTCTGCTGTCAGAGACTTCTCCAAAGTACTGAAGAGCAATGATATCAGTCTGGAGACTCAGGTGTACCTGATTCAGACCATATTCTTTGCAATACTTGCTATGCATCAGAAATCTGGGCAATGACTAGGGATGATAGAAAAAGAATTGATGCCTTTGAGCTGTGGTGCTGGAGAAGAGTATTGAATATATACACACAATGGACTGCCAGGAGAGCAAACAAGTTCACCCCAGAGAGGGTAAGGCAAGGATTCTGAAGCTCCATCTAACCAATCCTTGGAGAGGCGCGTCGTGCTTAGAAGGGTGGAGGGACAGCACAAGAGAGGAAGACCCTCGACGAGATGGACTGATTCAGGACTGGAGTAATAGAAGTAGGTGTCAGAGACAATAAGATCGGCACAGGCTAGAGCTGGTTTTAGGGCTATTGTACAGTGTTTCTATGAGTCACAGGCGACTCGATGGCATGTAGCAACAACCATCTGGTGGTGCCTTGTACAACTACATGAATTTGGGGAAAGAGGATTTATTTCGCCAATCCTAGCACCAGAAACTTCTTAACGCATATGGCCCACTAACTGTGAGAGCGCTGGTGGCTAGGCATAAGGACTTGTGCTGCCAACCCAAAGGCACATGGTTCAAGTCCACCAGCTGCTCCACAAGAGAAGGATGGGCATTATCCTCCCGTGTGATTAAACCACCTCTGAAAACCTCCTGGAGACTCAGCTATGAGTTGATACCAACTCAGTGGTACACAACAACAATTGTGACTGGAGAGAGCTCTCCACCAGCTGTTTCACCAGAGAAAGATGGGCAATTTCCTCCCATCAGGTCAGCTATGAGTCGGTTCTGATCCAACGGAGATGGGTGAACTGTATCAAAATCGTCTCCATTTTATCCCAATTTATTCTAAATGTCTCCCATTACTAACAGTTTTAATAAAAATGAAAATTCAAGCCACAAAACAATTGTCTTAAGCACAGTGAGGGCATCATAATGAATCAATGTTATTCACGAACAGCTTCGTGTCAGAAAGCGCTCCAAAGGGTTTTTTTTCTTCACCACTCACTCCAAAAGCTACCGTCCTCCGAACACCACAGCAAAGCTAACCTCCTGCCCAGGAGAGTTCTCCAGCATCTAAATATGCCTTTATCTTCTCCAGGACAAAGGTTTTCAAAAACAAAGGGGAAGATTTTAAACCTTGACTTTGTATCAACGCATTCTTTGAAAAGTGAATCACTTTTATATGATGGTTAAAAAATAAAAATGAAGTTGCCATGATAGGACCATCTCATAAGTAGCCTGATAAAACTTGATAAGAACAGCAGTTCTTACAGAGGAGCTCTCGTGGCTTAGTGTAAGAGGTGTGCTGCCAACCCAAAAGCACGTGGTTCGAATCTACTAGCTGCTCTGAGACAGAAAGACGGGCAATCTCTTCTGTGATGAACTGCCTCTGAAAATCTGCTGGAAGGGCTGTAAGACGGTTCTGACTTTTTAGAACACAACAATAAAAGGGCTAAGGAGTTGCACTGGCAACCCAAAATCAAGCAGTTTAAATCCACCAGTTAATTTCTGGCAGGAAGGTGAGAAATTTCCTCCCACATCATGTACAATTCTTTTTTAATAAAATTTTTATTTTATAAAAAAAATACTTTTTTTTTTAAAAACTCTCCAACTCATTGCCATCAAGTCGGGACTGACTTTCAGACGCTGTAAACCGCACAGCGGTTCCTCCTCTTTCCCCCACCAGGAGCTGGCAGATTTGAACCGCCAGCCTTTGGGTTGGCAGTGTAACGCCCTACTCTCTAAACCACCACGTGTGAAATCAAGTGAATTTTAAAATTCTATGTTTGCACAAATTTCTTCAAAGGAGCACATGTTTGCTAAGTGTCATAATAGGAGAGAAAATCCTTAAAAGAAAAAAAAAGTTACGATTGTCAGTGTATTGTCAACAATTCTGGATGCCTTGAGAGTCATCTTGTGTGGTGAAGGTTGTTGGGGATGGTCTGGAGAGAAAAGGACCTACGAGAATGTAACAGTCGCTGTCAAAAAGACAGTTTGAATTTTGTACCCAATTGAACTTCACTTTGGGGCCCGACGGCTCAATAACCCACACAGGATAAGTCTTCAAAATTTTTATTGCTAGGCACTGGGGGAGGCAATCAATATCCAACTGATACACGCCCAAATGAAAAAACAAAATCAACTGACACAACTGTGCAATGTAATGTTTCTCTGCATCTTCATAAAGATGACCCATAACATACTTACAGTACACTGTCCCCTGTAGCATATCTGTGTATCTAACTGAAGCTCCAGGCTTTAAAAAGGCACATGGGAAATAAGCTCAATTCATAGTGTTCTCAGGTAGAAGACACACACATGACTTACAGGCAGGGTTGGTGTCTCTATTAAACGGAACTTTTGCCCCTGGTAATAGAACCGTCTTCAGTCGCTCATTCATTTTCTTTCGAGGGCTTGCTTTTCTGAATCAACCACACTTCATTATTTCTATTAAGCAATTTAAAAGGACTATTGTAGCCTGCAGTGTAGTAAACTTTTTCATCAAAAACTTTTCCTTCTTCCCTTAGAATGTTTGCTAATGTCAAAAGCTGTTCTTGATTCTTTTGGGCACTAGAGAATCCATCGAAAGACCTAGAAAGGAGAAAAGGAATAGCCATGAGTGTTCTTAATACAGCTGCTCACGTCATCTGAAAAGAAAAGCAGGAGCTACCAACACAAAGGCTTCAAAATAGCCTTTCCCTCTGGCAGTTATGTGAGCCCACCACTCCTTTCCAGTTCCCAGTGTCCTTGTGCCTGAGACACACCCTGAAGGTGGGCATGCGCTCCAGGTGTTGTTGACAGAAGATTTGAAACTGACACCCTTTAAAGGGCTCTTACCCCATGCATCTTAAACTCTGTGTACACTGATCATCTAGGATCTTGCTAAAATGCAGATTCGGGGTCCCAGCATGAGGCCTGGGAGTCTGCATCCCTAACAGGCCCATCAGGTGAATACTGATGGTCCCATTAGCCACTTTATTTCATCTGCTTAAAGGTCCCCTTCCAGACTTTGGATTATTTTTTTTTTAATTGACTATTTCCTCTTCTTTGGAAAAGGGTCAACACTGGATTACAGATGAACAGGAAGTTCTGACCACCTCAGCACTGACCCCTGATTTATAGTCTAATGGAAGAGACAAAGAGTTGGCTCTCTCCACAGCCTGAGGATTTTGACAGAGATGGAATCAAAATGCTCCAGGAACACTGATCATATGATTAAAGTAGGGCGTGGGCGCCATCTGAGTTGGGTCTGCAGGGGGGAGGGTTTCCCTGGAAAGAGAAGGTGTCTCCAGCAGAGAGAAGATAACTGACCAAAATGGAACAAGTATGAAAAAGATGAAGCATTTTTATTCCATAAAGGCATAAAATGAGGCCACAAAGATGAGTCAGGACCAGATAGAAGAATCCTGTATATGATCCTGAACCCTTTGAGATTATTCCAAAGGCTGTTGGGCAGAAAAGTTAACTTGATCAGATCTGGAAAGAACACAGACAGCGAGATGGGGTAGAGACTGTGGGAGACAGGAGCTTATTAGGGGGCTGCTTTGAGAATTGAGCCAAAGGATAGATTAAAAATTTAAATAAAAAGTGGGAGGAAAGTAATGAAGCAGATTTTAAACTATGACAATTACTCCAGGATTAATTCACGACAAGTCACTGACCTAGCCCAGCTGCTAATAACGTATACACAAGGCTTTTCATTTTTAAGATTAAGATTAAGGTACACTTATGTTGTTATGTGCCGGCATGTCGACTATGACTCTAGGCAACAATGAAACCTGCCCAATCTCACTATCTCTGACACACCTGTCCCCGTGGCCACAGTCAATGAGTCAATCCCCCTTATCCAGGATCTTCCTCTCCTGTGCTGTTCCTCCACCCTTCCAAGCATGATGTCCTTCTACAATGATTGATCCCTTCTGGCAACGTGGCCAAAGCATGTGAGACAGACCGCACTATAGTATCCTCCAAGGAGCAATGTGGTTTCACCCTCTCCAGGACAGTCCTGTTAGTTCTCTGGGCACTCCACAGTAAGCTCAGACCCTTCTTCTGCACCACAATTCAAAGGCATCAATTCCTCTTCTGTCATCCTTATTTCATTGCCCAGCAAGTAACTGAGAAAACAAGAGTCTGGATCAGGTGCACCTTAGTCTCTAGAATGACATTGTTGCTCTTTAGCACTCTGGAAAGGTCCCTGACAGCAGATTTTTTTTTCCAAAGTAATTAGTCTTTTGATTTCCTGACTGCTGGTGTCAAGTGTTGATTGTAGATCTGAGCAAGAGGAAATTGTTAACAACCTCAATCTCTTCTCCTTCTATCATGTCTATCATGATGCTGCTGATTGGCTTGGTGGTGAGAATCTATGTTTTCTTGATGTTGAGAAAATCAGAAATACACAGAAGAATTCCATGATGAACTTCTTTAATATAAGTTCTATTATCTACGTGCCAATGGGAAAGATCAGTCTGACTTGATGCTTCAAAGAAGATTAAGGGCTCAAGGGTAAAGACTACGTCTATTTTATTCTGTGATGTCTATGTAGCACCTAGAACCCTTCCTGATGGCAAAAAATCAACTCTACCAGCTGCCATCAAGGCCATTCTGACTTACAGAGCTGCCCTGTGTGTCAGAACAGAACAATGTTACAGCATTTTCAATGCTTGTTTTTGGGAAGTCAATCACCAGGACTTTCCTCTAAGGCCCTTCCGGAGGGTCTTAGAGAGCTTTGGTGGTCTCCCTTCTTTCTGGGTGGACTAAAATGTCCAAATTCGCAGTCAGAAGAGCATTTAACTGTTTGCAGGTGCTCGTGACATGCAAATTCTTGCTGAGTCAGTGTCTGAATATGTCCTTGCACGTGCATAGAAAATACTGGAGAGGACTTGATAAAACTGTCCTGTACTGTAATTTTTATTTATGTTGATTATCATTCTGGACCATGTCTTAAGAAGCATTTTGACTCTTAAATTTATTCTCTCTACTTAGGAACAGCCACCCTTTAGTACATTTAACCGAAAGGAAATTTATTTTCCAGTCCCACTTCTTCCTTGCAATCAAATCTAGCACCAATTGGAGATCATTTGACCTCGGAGTTTGTGCTTTTATATAACGATCAGACACTGCTTTGTTCAGCACGGAAGCGTGTGCTGAGCACCCCTGTGTCTGCTGAGCTGGGAGCTGGGGGACATGCATGAGCTCCGCCAGCCTAGGGGGCAAGGAGTCACACTACCAACCCAACAACACATGTTTAAATACGCCAGGTGCTCTGCGGGAGGAAGGTGGGCAATCTCCTGCCCTAATGACCTGCTAGAAAGTCAACGAGGAGTTGGTTCTGACTCTCCTGCAATGACTTTCATGTTTTTAATTACTATTCTCCTGGAGGAATTTATACTCTATAAATGAATCCACTGCCATCAAGTTGATTCCACTCATGATGACTTCCCAGCAGATTTCTGAGGCTGAGAGTCTTTTACAAGAGGAGACTGCCTCATCTTCCTCCTAAGGAGAGGCTGGTGGATTCAAACCACTGAGCTTTCAGTTAGCAGTCCAACATGTGACACGCAAGGTCAGTCATTCAGATAATCAAAGGGAGGGCATAGCTGATAGAGTGGTCTTCTGACTGTAGCAGCTGAGGAAGAGACCACAGAGGATGCCATTTCACCAAAGTCCTGAAGGATGACAAGGGGCCTCCCAGGAGAAAAAGAAATAAGGAGCTAGAGCCGGTCATGCTACTGTCTTATCTGCATGTTCAAAATGTTGTTGTTGTCGTTATGTGCCGTCAAATTGTTTGCGACTCATAGCGACCCTATGTACAACAGCCCTAAACCCTGCTCTATCCTGTGCCAATCTCATTGCCTCTGACACACCCATCCCGATTACCCCAGTCACTGAATCAATCCACCTCATAGAGGGTCTTCCCCTCCTGCACTGTCCCTCTACCCTACCAAGCATGATGTCCCTCTCCAAGGACCTGTCTCTTCTTACAATATGTCCAAAGTATGTCAGACGAAGCCCCAGAATCCTTGCCTCCAAGGAGCAGCCTGGTTTAACCCTCTCTAGGATGAATCTGTTTGTTTTCTTGGCAGTCCATGGTACATTCAATATTCTTCTCCAGCACCATAGCTCAAAGGCGTCAATTCTCCTTTTATCCTCCCTAGTCATTGTCCAACTCTCTGATGCATAACAAGTGATTACAAAAACCATGGCCTTATTCAGGCGCACCTTAGTCTCCAGAGAGACACCGTTGCTCTTAAGTACTTTAGAGAGGTCCCTAACAGCAGACTTTTCCTTCGCAATACATTTTTTTTTTTTATTTCCTGGCTGCTGGTGCCAAGAGTGTTGACTGTGGAGCCGAGCAAACTGAAGCTGTGAACAACCTCAATCCCTTCGCCATCCATCCTGATGTTACCGATTGGTCCAGTGGTGAGAATCTTTGTCTTCTTGACATTGAGCCTCAGTCCTTACTGAAGGCTACAGTCCTTGACCCTCTGCAGTAAGTGCATGAGGTCCTCTTCAGTTTCAGTGAGCAGGGTTGTGTCATCTGCATAACACAGACTGTTGATAGATCTTCCACCAATCCTAACGCCACACTTCTCCTCATAGAGCCCAGCCTCTCGGATAATCTGCTCTGCATACATGTTGAAAAGGTATGGAGATAGGACACATCCCTGGAATACACCCTTCCCAATTTTGAACCATGCAGTGTTGCCCTGCTCCGTTCTGACGACTGCCTCTTGGTCCAAGTATAGATTTTGCATTAGCACGATTAAATGTTCTGGGATTCCCATTCAAAATATGGACTCCCATGTTCAAAATATTTTACATAAATTAACTCAGATGATCTTTACAGCAACCCTGTGAGATGGGGAGTCTGCGATTACATAGGCGTCCTTCAACAGCACAAAAAATTAAGTGCTTGATTATCAACCAAAAGATCAGTGGTTCAAACCTACCCGTAGGAACCTTGAAAGAAAGAACTGATAATTTGCTTTAAAAGGTAACAGGCCTGAAAATCCTGTGGGTTACAAGTCTACTCTGTACACAAGGGTCACGACGAGTCGGACTCTACACCAGGGCAGCTGGAACACGCATGCATATTTTTAGCTATCAGGAGATTTGGTAAAAAAAGCCTGAGTAACTTGCCTAATATCAAAGGTAAAGAGATAGGGAGAAAATAAAATAGCATATCCCGTAGAGGATGAAAGTCAATGGATAAGAGCTACAGAGTAGGCTCTGTCTCTGGATCGCAGCACACAAAGGGCCTGTGTAGCACGCAAATAATTTCAACTTCTTCCTGGAAGCAACATGAAGCAGCAGAGATTTTTAAACGGGTAACATGGTGGAATTGTTCTTGCCGTTGTAAGAAAGATCATGGGTTCTATTGTGCAGGAAGAAAGAAGGCTGGTAGCAACAAGAACCATCAGGCCATTTCAGGGGAAGCAGTGTTATCAATTCATATCTGAGTGCTATTATCAGGCGCTGGGATAAGCACCGGGTTATACACAGGTGACTTACATGTTATTTGTATGCGATGAGGACTTCAGGAAGTAACAATGGTGATGGACAGAAAGGGAGAGATAAATCATTTCAGAGGAGACCAGACAGTTCTTTGGGGTCAGTGCTGATCCTGACCATGAAGGTCCTTCTTGTGAAGGCATCTGGCTGATGGAGCCCTTTACTGGGACAAGCACTGGTGGAGTAGAGAAGGCTTGGGAGTTGGAGAGAGGCTCATTTTCAGAGCTGTTGGATTTGATGCTCCCCTAAATGCTTGAGAAGTAGGGAAACTAGAGCTGGAGATGTCTGAGAGACGCGAGAGTGATTAGCAGCAGGTAGTCGAGAAAGGTCTGCGGTGAAATGAGGGTCAGCAATGGACCTGAACAGTGAATCCTAGAGTGGGTAGTGAGGGAAGAACCAGCGTGGGGAAAGACACAGGGAAGGAAGATGCAAGTGGCATTCGCAAAGTTGAAGGATGAACAACAAGCCACCTAACAGAATGGTTAGCACTCAAATACTGCAGGGGTTCCATGGGAGAAGACCGAAATCATGCAGCAAATGGGACCAAAAGTATTTCCAAGCAGACGGAGAGGACTGTATCAGATTGTCTTGATCTGAGGAGTCTATAAGCGGTTGAGGAAGCAGAGAAGCAGCTTACCAGGTTGATGGTGAAGGGAAGGTGGGAAAAGCAGCAATAAGGAGAAGACAGAATCCAATATGCCATTAATATTTTGTACTGCTGTAAGATTTTTTGTTGTTGTTGTTGTTAAGATCTAACCATGCTCTGATAGCCTAGTGGTAAGAAGCTGTACTGCAATTCCAAAGGCAAGTGGTTTGAACCCACCCGCTGCTCCAATGGAAAAACCAGACAATCTAATCCTGTGCAATTTACTGCTTCTGAAAACCTTTCAGAAGGTCAGTTATGGGTTGGTTCCAACTTGATGGTATTCAACAACAACAAGAACCACCACAACCACCAAATAGCAAGTACAAAACCTTGTATTTTTGGTGTGGAAAGTACTCAATATACTTTTCATTAAATAAATGGGTTCTATCTGTGGCAATATATTTAACTCCAAGTCAGAAGGTAAATACCAAAGAATGCATCAGAACTGTGTTTATGGAAGGGTGAATGCCGGCTGAAATTGCAGAGGAGCTAAGTCATCAGTGCACACAGGTAAAACTAGCAGTCAGCAGGGCTATAAATTACCCACCACTTACCCACTTACCGTACAAACACAGTCATCTCAGCTCTGTCTTCAATGAAGACATCTGACTCGGCAGGCTTGGGCGGATCACATTGCTGTTCAGAGGGGATGTACAGGGAGACAGTAATGGTAGACTCACTGAATGGGCCTGAGCCTGGCTGCACATAGCTTGTCACAGGAGCAGTCATCTTTATTTTCTTCTCTGTGTCAGAAAAACATATTCCATTGCACAGGAGAGAACGAAGTGGAGTCAGTCTATTACAGATTACTTTCATTTAACCTATTGCATCCTAATCTGACTTGGTTAGTTTATTTTACATTACTGACACCATTATTTATTTTAAGAAAACTGTCTCCTTGAAAAAAAAATAAAGCCAATATTTATCAATTACCTAGTGATCACATTAGATACTTCCAGTGCTATTGATATTTTTGGCTCATAGACTTTATAGTTTTATGGATAAAGAGAAGAAGGGCAGTTGGAGGTCACATGGTCCAGTTCTTTCTTTATTTCCGTGACTCAGAAATTAAGGTCCGATAAAAGTCAAAAGGCCTGTGCAAACAGAAGTAACCACAGAGCCCCGAACAGAAGCTGTATGCAGAGATTCCGGACTTGCTTCCTAACTTCCTGCCACAGTCAACACATTTGCTCCATGCATTAGACAAGGTTACTACATAACTCAATCTAGCAGAAACAGAGTTAGATAATAGAGGCTTTAGAGGCCTACCCTCCCGCTGTGGCAGCTCAGTGTTAGAAATCTGTCTTTTGATCATTAAGCCTGTGAGAATGGATTTCCTAGTAGAACAGATACTTGTTTAATATGTTAAGACTCATTAATAAACCAGGGGACTTGACCTCATTAGACATAAATACAAAGCGAATGGCTCTTACCTTTCTCGTTTTTGCCTTTGATGTAGCTATGGAGCTTTGTAAAGCCAGTTTGAATGGCTGAGTCCCAGTCCATTGATTCCACGGCCGTGCTGACCCACTTGGCCGGACCATAGTGACGGATCTCATAACTTCCGGGCTAAAATGGAACAGGGAAAACTTCGGAAAGCAGTCCTCCCAGGGCCGGGGGTGAGAGGAGAGGCCACAGCCCGAGGTCCCTGTTCCCCGGGACGCTCAGGGCCTCTTCCCTGTGGGTTTGATCCTGGGGAGTTGAGTGAGTGGAGGCCAGAGTTTCGCTCACGTTAAGAAAAAGCAATTATTTCACCCTCCTAGCCGCGGGGAGCTCCAAAGCGTGTTCTAGAAGGTGAGATGTTCCTTTTGTTTTTAAAACCTCAAAGAAAACCAAGGAAGGGTGGGTGTTGCCGAGAGCCACAGGGGTGCAACCCACTTCCTTTTGGTGCAGGAATAGAGGTAGGGGCTCAGGCCACTCTGCAGTGTTCTTTTAAACTCGAATCGAGGACTGCCTCCGGTCTTACTGCAGATCAGCCGGCAGAAGACCTGGAACCCCCTCCCCGGTGCCGCCCAGCTCACCTGTACCCTACCTGGGGACCTGCGTCCTCTGGGACAGTCCAGCCCGGCGTCTCCAGGGCCTCGGCAGCCGTGGCCTCGGCCGCCCCGGCCTCGGTCTCGGACACTTCGGCCATGGATGGTGCGGACACTCGGAGGAAAGAGCCCGCGAGCTGCGTGGAGAGCGCGCGCGCCCGGCGCTGCCTGTGGCCGGGCTGCCCTGGGGCCACCCCGGTGCGTGCGCGCCCCA